AGGGAAAACTCTACTTTGGGTAGTTATATGTTAATTGATTGTTAAATGAAAATTGTGAATATTACATGCATGAGATTGATTGTTATAGTAAAAACAACATATTAGTTTTATTGAGTGGATGAAAAGCTACTTTTGACTTGAAAATGCAAAATGCAAAGTCAAGAGGATTTTAACTATGAGCATGCTTTTGTTGTTAAAAATGAATGGGTTGACATGTAGAGATAATTTTTTGTCAATGAGAAATGAATTTTGAGAAATGATGAGAATACACATTTGGGTAGCATAAGATCGTGAGCTCAACGTGGTTATTGTAAAAGTGAGTATATGAAAGTGAACAAGTGAAAACAAGTGAGTAATGATTATGGCATGATTAGTGATGGGAGTTCTCCTAGAGATTTAGGAGTAGAGAAAAATTCATATGGTATTTAGGCTGCCCTCTGGTGTACCGAGGCTATAGCCTTATCCTACTATTTGTCAAGGGACTGTCCCATAGTTTGTCAAAGGACTAGAACCTAGCTATCTCTACCGATTCAATGAGGAGAATAGCTTTGGGTATGAGACACCCTAGGGATTCAAGAATGGGGGAAGCCGTGGTCTAAGAGTGAGTCTTGTGATTTTTAACCGGGTCACACCTCATGATTGGTAAGCTTAGGTAGTGCAGTCATATAGACGAAACCTTGATCAGTGTTTTAGCCTATGGTTTCGGTATGAGGAAATAAGGAGGATATAAGGTTGGTTGATCATTGCCTAAGTAAACACATGACATGTCACACGTATTAAGTGGTGGCAATTTACAAGAGCATGGGACATATCACATATATGAGAATATGGTGACAATGCACCTAGTTATGAGAGTTAAAGAAGTTATAAAATGATAAATTGTGATATATGTGGACTTGTCATACATGATTTTCCATATGCATGTATTTGTTTTATAATTGATATATAACTGCATAGGGTAGGTTTAACATTAGTTACTGAGTGGCTAGACTTACCCTTTTAATTTTTTAGGCTCTAGCTTTGGTGTTGAAAGGAAGAAGACTAAAGAGGTGGAAAATTAGCATATTCCTACTTTATGCCTCTAGTTTAGATTTAATTGTATAATAGTACATAACTTGCCAATTCTAGGATGCATATCACCATACTTGCACTATTTTGGTTATTGGAAGTGTTAGAATTGTATTTTGAGCCCTTAACCTTTGTGTATGTTGATATATATATATATATATTTATAGGGCCAAAATACTAGTGCAAGTATAGAAATGAAGATTTGAGCATGTTTTGAATGATTTGAGTAAAATTCAATGACAAATTACCTCCCCTTTTTGTTTTTTGTAAATTGGGGTTGAGGAGTGAATTTTTGTTATAATGATGTTTCGATGCTTGTGACATGTTGTACTGGTAGTTCTAGATCCATTGGACAAGGTTCAGGTGTTAGGAAAAGCTTTTGACACTTGTTGAAGGTTTTGGACACCTATTTTGTGAAAAAGTGTTGAAAAGTGGTGAAAATGTATTTAGGTGTCTAACTTTCTAGTGTAACTCTTTTTGGAAGTAAAACCTATGCTATTAGCTAGTCCATGTAAAGATTTCCGTAAACACCTAGATCACGTCATTCGGATGTCAGACGGAGAATTAGGGTGAGTTGGAAGTTCCCCTGATATTGCTGTCAAATGATAGCAGAATCAATAGCAATTTCATGTAATAGGCTAATGTGCATGGCGCCTGAGTTACGGTGCATGGCACAGAGAGCAACACGTTGTGGCACAGTGTGCATGAGCTACAATGCATTGTTCTATATCACAACACATGTTTTATTTTTCAACTGTTTTTGACTTCTTTTACTCCTTTGAGGTATCCCATGCTTTCAAAACTTAGTTTTGCTATGATATGAAATATTTTAATTGATTTTAACTTGTTTCTCTTTAGAAAACTTGGGATCCTTTATTTTTGGATTAAACCTTGGTAACCACCCTTTGAGCTAATCCTTTGATTACTATGTGTTTCATTAATTAATTGTGTTTAGCAGAGTGAGAATGTTTCAATTTGGTGTCAATTTCTCTGATTTTGAGAACTGGTCTGTGGTTTGTGTGAAATAGTTATTCAAATTTATTATGCATTGCATATAGAGAATTGGTAATATCCTATTACACTTGTTATTTCCCTCACCGAGCTAGTACTAACTCCCTTTTTCCTTTTTAGGTTTGCTTCCATCTTTAGGAGGGGAGAATATAGTGCAAACAAGAGCCACAAACATAGGAAATGCACTAGAAAATGTGCAAAGACCAGAACAAGAACCGATAAACCAAGAGCAACAACCAGGACCTCAACAGGGTAACAAAGACAATGCCATGGATGAATTGAGGTATATGATGGTGGACATCTAAAGAAGAATGGATGTTTATGATGAGATCTTTAGAAGAAGACCTGGGGAGAGTAGCAGGAGAGTTGAGAGAGTTAAGGTTGACCAAGAGGAAGCCCGAGATGATGTGCATGCTGAGGTGCATGGATATAGAGATGAGGAGTATTATAAGGAAAGTATTCTTGAGAGGCTGGTGCGATTAGTAAGGCTTAGGATGAGTAAGTTGGAAGGCTCCTTTGATATGGCTTTGAAGCAATTCATGAGGTTGAATCCTGTTTCCTTCGAGGGTTCTATGGAGGATCGAGCAGTTGAGAAGTGGATCAATAGGCTTGAGACCATCTTCTTAATCATGACCTGTATGACTAAGTAGAGGGTTCTCTTAGCCACATTTATGCTCGAAGATGCAGCAAAGTAATAGTGGGAAAGTGTGAGGCTAGTGGATGGCTCACAGCTGAAATGGATAGAGTTTAAGAGGCAATTCTTCACCCCTTACTTCCCAGCCTCATTTTGAGTAGAGAAAGAGGTAGAATTTCATAAAATTCAACAAGGAAATATGAATAAGGAGGATTTTTTTAATGAAGTTCAATGAGTTATCGAAGTACTCTACTTACCTGAGTCATCATGATGATGACTATTAGAAAGTTAAATAGTTTCTTGATAAGATGAGGCCTGAATTCAGCCAACAATTAGCTGCTTTTGATATTACTTCTTTTGAGGTTATGTGCAACAAGTTCAGAGTTATAGCCAGAAGGAGTAGAGTGGTAGAGAAGAAAAGAGATGGTTAAGGGAGATTTTCTTCCTACATGAGCCCTATGGGCAGAGTAAGTAAGAAGTTGGGTTTTAACTCGAGCATGTTTGAGAGGTACAGTGTTAGAGGAAGCAAGAAGAAGAGCTTTCAAAAGGGGTCCCAAACTAAGGGATCCAGCCAGAGGAATAATGCCCTGGGGAGTATGGGTGGGGTCAAAAATCAGACTCCATAGTGTGATGCCAGTTAGAGCTCCATAGTGTGACAGATGTGGGAAACATCAGCAAGGGCAATGTTAGGTTTGCTTCAAATGCAACAAGGTGGGACACATAGCCAAGTTTTGCTTGGAGAACATACCTGCTCCTGATCAGAGATCCGCTATCCCAGGATGAGTCTTCGCCATGACCAGAGAAGAGGCCAAGGGTTCACTAAAGCTGATTAGAGGTACAATCTCACTTTATGGTCATTAGACAGATGCTTTGTTTGATTTTGGTGCCACACACTCTTTTATATCTGATGATTATGCCAAGAGGTTAAAATTGCATATGCTTGAAATGCCGTTTGCCATAAATATGTCTACACCGGTTGGTGCATCTGTGAGGACCAGTCGGGCTTACTTGAAACTAGAATTGAAGTTTGGTGATAGAGTTTCTATTATTGACTTAATCTACTTATCTTTAAGTGGCATTGATGTGATAGTAGGAATGGATTGGTTGTCTACTAATGGTGCGACACTTAACTGTAATAGAAAGACAATCTCCTTACCAGTTTATACATCGACAACTGTTAACCCTAAACCTATCAAGTCATTGTTAGTAGTGGATTCTAAGACTCCCAAGTTCTTGATAGCCCTACAAGTGGAGAAGTTAGTAAAAGAAAGGTGTCAGGCTTTCATGATCTATCGTTCTACACATGAAGTGTATGATGGAGGAATTGACAGAATTGGTGTGGTGAATGAGTTCCAAGATGTGTTTGATGACTAAATGCCAGGATTTCCACCTGAAAGAGAGATTGAATTCTCAATTAATTTAGTACTCGGTACCAAGCCAATCTATAAGGCTTCATATTGTATGGCTCTTGCAGAACTAGAAGAATTAAAAAAGTAATTAGAAGAGTTGCTAGAGAAGGGATTCATCTGGCCGAGTGTATCGCCATTGGGATCACTTGTGCTGTTTGTAAAGAAGAAAGATAGAAGTATGAGGTTGTGCATCGATTACAGGTAACTCAACAAAGTGACGATTAAGAACAAATATTCATTACCGCGGATTGATGACTTACTTGACCAACTTGTCGGAGCTGTAGTTTTCTCTAAAATTGACCTCAGGTCTGGATATCACCAATTGAGGATTAAGGCAGATGATGTGCCTAAGACTACATTTAGGACACGATATAGGCACTATGAGTTCTTAGTAATGCTCTTTGGTCTGCAAATGCTCTTGTAATTTTTATGGACTACATGAATAGGATCTTCAGAACCTACTTAGACAAATTTATAGTAGTTTTCATTGATGACATCTTGATATACTCCAGAGATGAGGAAGAACACACAAGACATCTGAGAATAGTACTGCAAGTGTTGAAAGAGCACAAGTTGCATACTAAATTGAGCAAGTGTGAGTTTTGCTACAAGAAGTGAAATTTTTAGGACATGTCATTTCTGCTAATGGCATAGTAGTGGATCCATATAAGGTTGATGCAGTACTACAGTGTGAGAGGCCAATGTCGGTGCTTGAGATAAGAAGTTTCTTGGGTTTAGCTTGCTATTATCGAAGATTTATCTAAGAGTTCTCTCAGATTGCTTCTGCCTTGATAAAATTGACGAAGAAGGATCAGCGGTTTATCTAGACAGAGAAGTGTGAAGAGGCGTTTCAGACTTTGAAAGAGAAGTTGACCGCAATGCTAGTGTTGATTATTCCAGATTCCAAATGGCCATATATGGTCTATACCGATGCATCACTTAAAGGACTAGGCTGTGTGCTAATGCAAGATGATAGAGTTGTAGGTTACGCATCAAGACAGCTGAGACCGCATGAGGAGAGTTATCTAACTCATCATCTTGAGTTAGCAGTGGTTGTATTTTCCTTGAAAATATTGAGGCACTATCTTTATGGTTCACAGTTTGAGGTATTCAGTGACCACAAGAGCCTCAATTATTTAATTGATCAGAAGGAGTTGAATATGTGACAGCGAAGGTGGATGGAATTTTTAAAAGATTATAATTTTGAGTTGAAGTACCATCCGAGGAAGGCCAATGTAGTAGCTGATACTTTGAGTTGTAAGACCTTACATGTTGTATGGCTGATGATCCATGAGTACAAGCTGCTAGAGGATTTCTCTAGTGAACACCAGAATAGTCTAGATTTTGTCGTGTACAACTTGAATACAACAATAATCACTAATGAATTCTGGAAGGACTTAAGGAAAGCCCAACTTGGAGACAAGTATCTGTTGGGAATTAAAGATGATATTGAGGCAAACAAGACTAAGGACTTTTGGTTCAATGATGATGGGTTGGTAGTGTATAGAGATCAGGTATGTGTACCTGATGATAAAAGGGTTCAAGAGCCCATTCTAGTTGAAGCTCATAGGAGTAAGTTCACCATTCATCCAAGAACCACCAAGATGTATCAAGATATGAAGAGTCGGTAGTGGTGGCCGGGTATGTAAAAAGATGTGACAGAGTACGTATCCCGATGTCTCACTTGTCAGAAGGTGAAGATTAAACACTAAAGACCCCCAGGATTGCTACAACTATTAGAGATTCTCATGTGAAAATGGGACTGTGTTTCTATGGATTTCATTATGGGGTTGCCACATACCCAAGAGAATTATGATGCTATTTAGGTAATTGTGGATAGATTGACCAAGTCTGCTTATTTCTTGGTTATTAGAGTTGATTATGCCTTAGAGAAGCTTGCAGAGGTCTATATTCAAGAGATTGTGAGGTTTATATGGAGTGCCAAAAGAAATTATATTAGATTGTGATTCGAGGTTCACCTCGAACTTTTGGAAAGCACTGTATAAGGCTATGGGTACAAAATTAAAGTTCAGTATGGCTTATCACCCTCAGACAGATGGTCAAACTAAGAGGACAATCCAGACTCTAGAGGATATGCTATGTGCTTGTGCCATCAAATAGAGTGGTAATTGGGATAAGCACCTACCTTTGGTGGAAGTCTCTTATAACAATAGTTTCCATGTAAGCATTCAAATGGCTCCTTATGAAGCTTTGTACGACAAGAAGTATAGATTGCTACTTTGCTGGACTGAGTTGAGTGAGAGAAGCATAATGGGTCATGATTTGGTGGATCAAACCACTGAGAAAATTGAGACTATCCATTAGAAGTTGTTGACTGCTTAGAGTTGACAGAAGAGTTATGCAGATAAGAGGAGGAGACCGTTAGAGTTTATGGTGGGAGACTACGTGTTTTTGAAGGTCACACCTATGACTAGAATTGAGAGGTCTATTCGTGCAAAGAAGTTGACTCCTAAATTTATTGAGCCATTTGAAATTCTCAAGAGAATTAGGCCTTTAGCATACCAAATTGCCTTATCCCTTTATTTGTCAGGTGTGGACGATGTATTCCATGTGTCTTAATTAAAGAAATATCAACCTGACACTTCACATGTGATTGAGCCCAAGGATGTGGAGTTACATAAGAATTTGACATATCGGGCAGAGCTAGAGAAAATTTTGGATGTTAAGGAGAAACAATTGAGAAATAAGACAATTCAGCTTGTGAAAGTCATATGGAAATGGATGACTTTTGGTGATATTATATGGGAAACCAAAGAGAAGATGAAAAACCAGTATCCGCACTTGTTTATATGAGGTAAGGTTTTACTAGCTTTGCTAGATTAAGTAAATTTTGGAGACAAAATTCCTAAAAGAAGGGGAGAGTTGTAACATCCCGAGTTTTAATTCCCTGATTAATTAAACCTAATTATGATAATTAAGTAAGTTGAAGTGGTGAGTGGCTAGAGAGGTCTAATAATTATATTTAATGGTATTTCATCCCTAGTTGTGGGTCTGGTATTGAGGTGGGCTACTCAGGCATCGAAAGAAGAAGAAAGGAAGAGTTAAAGTTGTTGTGCTACATGCCGTAGTGCATAGATCATTTGCCACAGCACACAGCCATTGCTAAGCGAAAGAAAACCTCTCTGTGCCATGTATAGTGGCGTATTGTGCATTCCCTACGGTGCATGGCCATTTTCTGTAGTTTATCAAACACGAAATGAGACAGAAATAGAGAGAAGAGAATAGAGAGAAGAGAAAAGAGAGAAAGAAGAGGCATCCCAATGCTCTGCTAGGGTTTACTTGGGGATAACTTTAGGAGTATTTGAAGGCTATAAACATCTAAGGTAAGTATCACATTCATTAATCTCCCTGTTTCTTCCATATTTGAGACTTTATGGTTAGGGTTTGATAGTGGAAGAGAGATTTCGGTACATATAGGTTATGGGTCTGAATTTGTTGACTCAAATGGAGTTAATGGGGTTAGATTAGAGTATCTAAACCTAGGTATAATGATTTTTGGTGTTTTAGGTTGTTGGGCACTATTAATACCCAAAAATCTTATTTATTATGGGTGATTGAAAATTTGTGATGCCATTAATAGGAATTTAATGGCTCATTAATGCTATTAGGAGCTAAAGGTAACTATTAAACCTGATGGTTAGGCTCTACCTCTTGTAAAGTGAAGGTTGGGCAATTTAGAAGTAGATATTGAGGGTTCAATTATTGAGTTTGTTATGTTGATGGAATTCAACTTGGTTGATTGTAGCTTTTCCTCTTGGTCACTTATTGGAGTAGAAATCTAAGGTTGGAAGCTAGTTAATTGAGAGATAAACCTTTGACCTCTCAAAGGTTTGAGGTAATTGAGGGAAAACTCTAATTTGGGTAGTTGTATGTTAATTGATTATTAATTAATTGTTGAATGCAAATTATGAATATTACATGTATGGGATTGATTGTTATAGTAAAAATTGCATTTTTAGTTTCATTGAGTGTATGAAAAGCTGCTTTCGACTTGAAAATGAAAAATGCAAAGTCAAGAGAATTTTAACTATAAGCATGCTTTTCTTGTTGAAAAATGAATGGGATGACATGTAGAGATAATTGTTTGTCAATGAGAAATGAATTTTGAAAAATGATAAGAATACACACTTGGGTAGCAAAGGTCATGAGCCCAACATGGTTATTGTAAAAGTGAGTATATGAAAGCGAACAAGTGAAAATAAATGAGTAATGATTATGGCATGATCAGTGGCGGGAGTTCGCCTAGAGATTTGGGAGTAGAGAAAAATTTATATGATATTTAGGCTACCCTCCGATGTACTAGGGCTATAGCCTTATCCCACTATTTGTTGAGGGACTGTCCCATAGTTTGTCAAGGGACTAGAACCTAGCCATCTCTACCGATTTAATGAGAAGAATAGTTTAGGGTATGAGACCCAAGGATTCGAGAATGGGGGAAGCTGTGGTCCAAGAGTGAGTCCTGTGATCTTTGGCTGGGTCATACCTCACGATTGGTGAGCTTGGGTAGTGTAGTCACACGGACGGAACCCTAATCAGTGCTATAACCTACGGTTTTGGTTTGAGGAAATAAGGAGGATATAAGGTTGGTTGATCATTGCTTAAGTAAATACATGATGTGCCACATGTATTAAGTGGTGGCAATTCACGAAAGCATGGGACATGTTACATATTTGAGAATATAGTGACAATGCGCCTTGTTATGAAAGTTAAAGAAGTTATAAAATGATAAATTGTGATATATGTGGACTTGTCATACATGATTTTTCTTATGCATGTATTTTTTTTTATAATTGATATATAACTGCATAGGGTAAGTTTAACTTTAGTTATTGAGTGGCAAGACTCACTACTTTCTTTTAACATTTTTCAGATTCTAGCTCTAGTGTTGAGAGGGAGAAGACTAAAGAGGCGGGGAATTAGCATATTCCAACTGTTGCCTCTAGTTTAGATTTAATTGTGTAATAGTACATGACTTGTCAATTCTAGGATGCATATCACCACACTTGCACTATTTTAGTTGTTGTAAGTGTTAGAATTGTATTTTGAGCCCTTAGCCTTTATATATGTTGATATATGTGTGTGTGTGTGTGTGTGTGTGTGTTTATAGGGCCAAAATACTAGTGCAAGTATAGAAATGAAGACTTGAGCATGTTTTGAATGATTTAAGTGAAATTCATTGACAAATTACCTCCCCCTTTTATTTTTGGTAAATTGAGGTTGAGGAGTGATTTTTTGTTATGATGATTTTTTGGTGCTTGTGACATATTGTATTGGTAGTCCTAGGTCCATTGGATATGGTCCAAGTGTTAGGAAAAGCTTTTGGCACTTGTTGAGGGTTTTGGACACCCATTTTGTGTAAAAGTGTTGAAAAGTGGTTAAAATGTGTTTGGATGTCCAAATTCCTAGTGTGACTTGTTTTGAAAGTGAAACCCATTCCATTAGCTAGTTTATGTAAAGAGCTTTCTGTAGACATCTAGATCATGTCATTCAAACATCGAATGGAGAATCAGGGCGAGTCATATGTTCCCTTAATTCTGCTGTCAAATGATAGCAGAATCAACAGAAATTTCATGCAACACGCCACGGCGCATGGCGCCTGAGCTATGGTGTGTGGCACAAAGAGCAACACATCACGACGCAGCGTGCATGAGCCATGGTACATTGCTCTGTATCACAACACGTGTTTTGTTTTTCAATCATTTTTGACTTCTTTCACTCTTCTGAGGTATCCTATGCTCTAAAACTTATTTTTACTCTGGTATGAAAGATTTTGATCGATTTAACCTCATTTCTCTTTAGAAAACTTGAGATTACTTGCTTTTGGATTAAACCTTGGTAATCACCCTTTGAGCTAATCCTTTAATTAACATGTGTTTCATTAATTAATTGTTTAGCGGAGGGAGAATGTTTTAAAGGGTGGCATGATTTTAAATTCTTTATGATCCATTAATTGTCTACTAAATTGTTTTCTATTTTAATAGTTCTTTGATTTGACTTCCTTTCTTAAGGAGCAAGAATAGTCTTAGTTTTCTATTTTGAGTCTAATCAAAGATTAGGATTAATTATATTATTAATTTCTAAGTTTTGTAGTTCCATAATTTTAGGATCACATCTCTTAAATTATGTGGCTGGATATTTTCTCATTATTTTATATTATTTATCCTTTTAGTATTAGGAAATTAGGGTTTTAATTTTAGGAAATAGTCTTCTCTATAAACCTATATAAATTAGGCATGCTCCCTCTTATAAATGGAAGAGAAGTTGAATAAAATTATTCATTTTAGAGTTTATAACTCTTGTGAGCTTTAGTGCTTTATGATGGCATCCCGTGTGAGAAACAGACGTGATCAAGAGCGTGATCAACTCTTTTGGTGTCTTTAAAGGTTGGGGTTCCTAGAGGTAGGTGCTCTAGAGAATCTTATCCTTGATTATTATCCCATTATTTATTTCCTTTCTTTCTTTATTTTTGTCATAAATTTCGTCCCTTTCTTTTTGTTCTTGTGTTTTGTTGTGTTTCAAGTTTCTGTCCTTAAACTAGCACGATCCTGCTTCCGTATCTCCTATTACTAACCTTCTCGATAAACTAGCGGAGATACCTAGGTTTAGTCCC